TTAAAGTATGTTTAAGCAGGTGTGGTCAACAGGTAGATCTTCACCAGATTAAGAACTACAACTCCCAAGATGTGTTAACAGTTTTAAGAATGCCAAATCATTATGGGAATTGTAGTTTGATGATGGAAGATGGAGATCTAATATTTGTCCTACCCTGATTTTAAGAAGTGAGTTTTAAACAGTAGGTTCAGGCTGGTTGAAACCTGCTTATACTTGGCCTGTTTGCTAAAGAATGCATAGGAAGCAAAAATTACCAACTTCAGTTAACATGAATAAAAGCTTACTTAATCCAACTTAAATCATGCCTAAATGACATTTTGCCTAAAATATTATCCTTTTGAGAGCTTATAATAGACTTAAAAATTAGATTCAGCTGAATCAATTCACCAAAGGAAAAAAATTGTATACAGATTTCGACAAATTTTAACCATACAATTGTTTTAGGAAAAATTATTCAGAAAAAAACAAAAGAACATGAAAATGGGCTACTCAGCGTACTTCAAATTATATACATAATATCAATATTATGTATATATGTGGCAGTGCAGCTAATAGCAGCATGTTCCTGCCATTTGGTTAACAGATCAAATGAGAAGAAGTAACCAACATTTTATGCACAGATCAAGTAAGAAATGACCAATAGAGAAAAAAAAAGGAGGGGCAGTAAAAAAAAAAATCTATATTTATATATTTATTAAATATATAATTTACAAATATAATTTTTTTTTATTGCTCCTCAATATCCTCTGTTTTGGTCACTTCTGACTTGATCTGTGAATAAAATCAACATTTAGTGTCTACTCCCTAACCATCTTTTTTTCTTCATTAATAATCTCTTTTTTTGGGTGCCATGAATAGAACACTGAATAATAAATCAAGCAAAACTGTAGTCTATTGTCAATTTCCATTGGTACATGATACATCTTTATGCCACTTTAGAACTGGGAATCTGGACGACTAGATTTTGCATGAATTGCAATTTGTTTGAAACCAAATGCACAAGTTTAGTTTGCCATTTATAGGGAGTTAAAGTGGCATTGTCATGGCCGCATCATTTTTTTTTAACCCCCCTTCCAACTCTAATACATTTAATAGCGCACCCTGGTCGCTCCCAAATGCCCCTATGCCCCCATATTTCCTATATTTAATGTTTATTTTGTGCCCGGACCTATGTCCTGGGCGCTGCCATCTTTGTGTGGGTAGATGAAGCTCCTGTGGGACACGTCATCTGCCCACACTAGATAGCACTGTAAAATTCCTGCACATGCCCAGTTCGGCATTTGGAGGGAAATTTTGAGTATTAATTCGTCAGAAAGACGAATGAATGAACTGAAATTTCAAACGAACAAACAAAGACCAAATGTCGGTGTTTGTTTGTTTGTTTGTTCCTCCTTGTAATATGTAAAAATAGAAGCATCTGGGAGCTGTGCTCCCCGCCACTTCCCAACCCTCCACATGTCCTCCCTCACTCTATAGGGGTCAATTTGACCCCTATAATAGTATAAGGGAGAATAAAATCTCCTGAATGCCCCTACTTGCTATGCTGCTATGCCTGTGGCTGCTCGCTGTTGTAAACCCCCCATTTATTAACTAGCCCCCCCACCTATTTATTAACTAGTGGAGGTGACATAGTGACAATGACAATGACATTTAGGGCCCCACCTATGAGGTTGGCAGATTGGAGCCCTAAATAGCAAGAGGGGGGCCTATTGCCACCCGTGCTCCCACCCATTGGTGTCGGGCCCATGGGTGGGGGCCCTTCATGAATATAGGGATGGGATCTATTGTCCCCCCCAACCACACCCATAAGCGGTGGGCACTCTAAATGTAATAAAAAACCTGGGGGGGGGGGTAACTAGGGGTCCCTAAGCCCCTAGTCCCCCCCAAAAATAAAATACATTTCTACCTACCTCTCTCACCCTAAAATAGTGAGGGGAGACAATAAAAGTATATAAATACAAATAAATACTTACCATTTGGAGTCTTTTTTCTAAAATCTTTTTTTTTCAGCCGCCAAAAAGGCCTAATTAAAATCCATAACTAGCTAGCTAATTATAAGCTAAATGATGAAAAAACAATGCTGATGGGTATTGGGATAGAAAAAAACCAGAGAAGAAATTTTAAAAAAATTCGCATTTGCATCGACAACCAATAAATTTGATTACCTAGGAGTATCGGTAACTAAGAATATTAATGAACTCATAGAGGAAAATGTATTAAGGTTGATTAAAACCACAAACCTATTACCAAAGACTTGGAGAAATATACAGATTACTTGGGCAGGTCGCATTAATTCATATATTATCCCTAAATTGAATTACTCATTCCAAATGTTACCTCTCAAAATACCTGAGAGCTGGTTAACAATATTGCAAAATATCTTGGAAAACTTTATTAATGAAGGAAAAAATAATAGAATTAGTAGAAATACTTTATCCTTGAAAACAAAAGATGGGGGATTGATATTTCCCAATATAAGATTTATGTATTGGGCGAATGTAATAGCGTCAGGATTTTTTTATGGCAGTTTTTTTGTGCTCGCGTTTTTTTTTATTTTATAAATTCAACGGACTTTATGGTTTTTAATTCGGCATTTTTGGGGGCTCAATATTTTAGAAAAAGAAGACTTCAAATGGTAAGTATTTATTTTTATTTACAGGGACTTAGTTTTATTGTCCCCCCCTCACTATTTTTAGGGTGAGGGGGGTAGGTAGAAATGTATATTTTTTTGGGGGGGTCTAGGGGCTTGGGGACCCGTAGTCACCCCCCAGGGTTTTATTACATTTAGAGCCCACAAACACCACTCATGGGTGGGGGCTGGGGGTACAATAGATCCCCCCCCCCCGTTTTAGCTAAAAGGCACTTTATTAGAGGTGTGAGGGAGTATTTTTTACAACAGTACTGAGCAACCATTGGCTCCTACTCGCGATATAGCGTGTAGGGGCAGATTAATTACTAATACTAAGTAATTTTTATTCTACTTTTGGTAGATAGCTCCCAGATACCATGGGAATTAGGGAGCTATTTACTAAGCGGCTGCAAGATGCAGCCACGGCACGAATAGGATCAGAGTTTCATTCATTCAAATGAAATTCCGATACGAACAGAAAGTACCAAATGCCATTCTAACACGAATGAACAAACTGTTCATTCTGTTAGGATGGAATTCGGTAGTATCGTCTATGTCATGTCTATATGACAGGACGCTGGGGAATAGTGAAAGGAAGCATCGCAAGATCAGGTGAGAATTGTGGGAATCTGAATCTGAAGACTCCTCAGTTTGTAGTTATATATTATTTTGGCATTTTGTGTTCCTTTTCTTTTTCCACATATTATTCCTTAGAGCAGTGGTTTCCAACTAAGTCTTCAATGTACACCAAAAGACCAGGTTTTATCAGTATCACCAATGGGACAGAATTTGGAAATGCCTACTAGGCTGTTGGTGTGTCATGACCACTGGATTGGGAACCATTGCTTTAGACCAGGGGTTTCCAACCCAGTCCTCAAGTACCCCCTAGCAGTCCAGG